TTTTTTAATGCCCCCCCCCCCCCCCCAAGCAAAGGTGTTCCAAGAAGGGGGCTAGCTTCGGGTAATTATCCGGTTACATATATATTGGGCATAAATGCCCATATCCTATATCCTTTAATGATTAAACTAGGGTAGGGGCGCAAGCGTTTCCTAGGCAGGGTTCTGGCTCTAAGCACTTTGGTGCCCATTACATCGGCGTGATTATTAAAAAATCAATAAATATAAAAGGTAAAATAAATTTACTTTAAAATTTGACTGCCAATATCTCAAATTAAAATAATGATATCAAACTAGAGTGTGTCTCGCTTAAAAGCAAAACCTTTTCTCTAACACCGATGCAACACTGTTGTCGTGTATTCTTGACAAAGTTCAAGGATGTGGATGAAATATCAAGTCCTTGTTAAAGATAACTGTGTTTATGAAATGTTGTGGCTATGAAGTCAAAAAGGTTGAATGAAAAAAGTAGGAATGCCATAACAATTAACTCCGCCAAGGCCGGTCCCAAGCCCGGATGCAAAAGGGGGAGGGTAGGCATGAGGCCAGCTACCTCACCCGTAACAACAAATTGCTACAGAAACGTCAACAATAAAAAAAAAATAAAATTCAGCCCTGAGAAGAGAGGACTCTTCTTCTCCAAGAAGAGCTATGAAGCCTTGTGGCCAAACCCAGGCTATACTGGAAGCCTCAAAGCCAAAGACCATCCTTTCTAAGCAAACAAACATAGGCACATGGAACGTCAGAACCATGTATGAAGCAGGGAAAGCAGCGCAGGTGGCAGCAGAAATGAGATCTTACAGACTTACACTGCTTGGCATGTGTGAAACAAGATGGACACAAGCTGGGAAAATAACTTTGGCCTCTGGAGAAACGCTAATACAATGCCTAACGTGGAACCCACAGGGAAAAAGAAAGAGAGGAAGGCCTAAGAATACATGGAGACGCAAGATAAAGGCTGACACGCAAAATATCGGATACACCTGGAAGCAATTGGAAAGGAAAGCACAGGACCGTGATGAGTGGAAAGTTCTTGTAGATGGCCTATGCCCCAGACAGGGTAGAAAGGCATAAGCAATCCATAACAATTGACACCCCCCCCCCCCGAAACCACTTTACTATTCCCAGGGGTTAAGAGGGGGATGGGGGAGAGGAGAATAATCATTTACATTCCAGCCATGATGGTAAAAATAGAAAGGAGAGTGTAGAAGTTACTACCACTACCAATTTCTGTGAAGCTATTTTCCTTTTAAAAGGTAATAGTTCCTTGTAATCACATACAAAATGATTTCATTATTGATATCATTTTCTCTAATAGAATAAGTTCTTGCTTATAACAAAACTGGTGTATAAAGTAGTATCACTGGTTCACTTTTCGCTGTTGAACCATGACTGGGATTTAGATATAAAAAATACCAAAAACTGGAAATATGCATGATTTTATAGATACAACTACATGGCATATAAGCTTATGATTTATTCAAATCTGTGACTGATGGAAAGAATCCACATGCCATTATTTTAAAACAATAAAGATTTAAATGATTTTTATTCCTAACTATTTTTGTTTTATATGGCATATTAGTAACTGGTGTTAAATCATTTTAATTATCGTATATCATATGATATCCAGCTATTGATGCTTCAATAAAAGTAAAAAAATATGAAGAAAAATCATGAGTTATAAGATATGTATGTTTTAATTTATTATAATTATTGGCATTAATTAGTAAAGGTTAAATTTTTTTACCAAAATGCTCTTCTTTCATTTCTTTTTTTTCCTATGAACAATAAAATAATGCTCCCTAAAATACAAACTTGCTGAAAATGTGATTTTAAAACCTAAGGATCGTGGGCCAAGTGAGCCCCACTGAAATGTTTAATGTGACATGACAACTGGAGTAATCTTTTCATTAAATGTAAAAAAAAATAATTTATTAATTATCTGGAAAAGCCTTTGAAAATTAATAATCACAGATTAATAACAGAAAATTTAAAAGTAATTCAACTGATTATTTTCAAAAAAATCGGAATCTAAAATTGGAATGAATTTTCAAAGGGCACCTTCAGTGACATTAATGATGTATTTAAAATTATCATGCGACCCGCAAAAAAAATAAGTTTCCATGGCCCACCCCTGTGCCAAACAAAAAATGTTTCTATTCTTAAATATTAAAAATATGCAATACTGTGAACAGAAATACTGCACATAATTAACTATTTTTAAGAAAAAATTAAACAATTGTATCAAAGACAATATTTACAAATACATATTGGTCAAAAAGTGTAAATAAATTTTAAACATCTCAATCTCTTAAATTCATTTCAACAGTAATTATGCACCGGGACAAACATTTGGAATTTTAATAAATACAATAACATTGAAAATGTGTGTAAAAATAAACAAGGCTGCTTTAGGGCTTAATTTTTTTAACAGTAAAAATACATGTGTAGCTTTAAGTTTACAAAAGGAAAAAGTTAAATATAACTTGGCATTTAATTAACGACTGCTGAAATTTGTGAAACTTAAGTCTGGCAATAATAACTCAAGAAATAAATATGTGATTTAACATATAACATCAGTCATTTCTTTCAATGTTCATATGTGTTCTTCAATGATCAGTAACAACATAAATTTCAGTTATGAGTAAGTCTGTGGTAATCATCTCCAACTCAGTATGTTCACAAGCGAATAGTGAGAAACCACTGAAAAAAAAATGGTAGGATGTGACAACCAAGTCCAACTCGTGTAAGTCAGGATAGATCCTCCAGGGAAGGAACCCAGCCACTTCTAATACATGTTGAACCCAGATGCCCTGGTGGGAGCTAATAACAAATTATGAACTTGACCAACACAAACAACATAAAATGCTGCATTAATTTATTGCTAATACTTTCCGAATGATATTTGACATCCTTAAACTCAAATGATTTCAAACGTCCCCCTACATTCCCTTCCAATAAAAAGAAATTGTATAATTGTGGTCCTCTTGATAATCCAATTTTTCAAAAGCAATATGTCAATGACAACTATATTCATCTTCTGGCCAGAACTAGGGATTAAGAAAATAAATGACTCCTATTCCAGGTTCATTTCTACAAGACAAAATGCAATACAGTGTATGTCCAATGCTGATAAAAATGGATTTGCGACAAATTTCCCAAAACTAAAGACCAACCAGATTTCCATTAAAAATAAATTTACAGCCCAGCTTCCACATTGGCCTTACCGCAGGCAGTATCTAAAAAATGTAGATATACGAGTACCAGCTCTACTTTATAAAAAGTCTCCCCAAATACTGCCTTAACGCAGGCTCATAACTCGGAATATCTATTCTTTAATTAGCCACCTTTCATGCACGACATACGTAAACAATTTCTTTTCACAGATCTGCAACTCAGTTGACAATGCCTTGCCTTGTTATTGCCTTAACGCAGGCATACATAACTCATCGCTTTTTACAGAAACACAGCTCAATTAACCTATGTCATAGCCTTAACGCAGGCATACACAAACCATTTCTTTTCACAGATCTGCAACTCAGTTGACAATGCCTTGTCATAGCCTTGATGCAGGCATACATAACCCATCGCTTTTTAAAGATGCACAACTCAAATAACATATGTCATAGCCTTAACGCAGGCATGCATAATCCATTCCTTATTCCACATTTACAACTCAGCCTTTTTCATAGCCCTAATGCAGGCAGCAACATTAAAAATACTCACACTGTATGTGCATTAAGTGAACATATATATATAAATATGCATAGCTTCTCTTGGCTAGCAAATTGAAGACTTAATAATGATTATTAAGTAGTTTTGTTAAGGGAAATCTAAGGTCAGTCAGAGAATTGGGTCAGTATTTCTAGTACATTTCTGCTGCAACACATTTGCCTGTATATCATTAAGAAAATAAATTTCACCTGTAAAATAACATTACATTTCAACATCATTAATGTAATAATTTAACATTATAAAATTATTTGCCTTTCAGTATAAGTAAGAATGTATGCTATTGCATGTATCCATCTTGTATAGAATAGACATTTCTTTTAGCCATTATCATTAAGAAAGCATCACAATATTCTAGATCTAAGTAGATTTAGTTCTATTTAAAATATGGTTAAATCTTGTAAAGAAACATATTTTCAAACGTGAAAAAAATGAAATATTCATT